TATGTATTCTCCCGAAGAGACTATTGGATTAGAGCACCGGTAGCTCGGCACAGGTAGCTTTTATGTACAGCAAAAACTATAGTTGAGGTTCAAAAATATTTTTGATACCAATATTGGTTGCTGAGAATTTAATTTTTAAGCTGCAAAATCTACCTCGCAAAACTTTGTGCGAAACCTAATATTTAAGTTATAATAAATAAATGTACATTTAATTAATTTATTTTAATACTTATGTTTACTTCATAGATAATATTGATGATTATATCATTATTCCTTAGGATATGTGAGCTATCTGAAAATATCAATTAGTATTAGTAGTAATTTAAATTATTTGTATTAGTATCAATCATTAAGTTAATATTTAAAAAATAATTATTACTGAATATATAAATTATTATAATATTGTTGTTTTTAAAAGTGATTATAAAAATATTTAAATAAATATCTATAATATATTTTTTTATTTTAAAAAATAATCTTTATAAATATAATATTATATTTTTGAATGCTAACGGTTACTAAGTCATCATAATTAGTATTTTAATAATTTTATTATTTACAAAACAAAAATTAATTTAAACATACCTATTTATTAAACATGGTATAAAACATATTTCAAAACAATGTATTTTAATGTATTGTTTATTTCATTACCACTTCTCGAGAATTATAATTAGATTAGTACACTGCACTTTCCATATAGTAACTCTCCTTATAGTAAACTTTCCTTATAGTGGACGAAATATATTGATTTGGCGGCCACTGTATACCTATAATGTTAATTGACTCCCTATACAGTGAACTTACATATAGTGTATAATTCTATGTTGTGTATGGATTTTCAACGTCTATGGGACTGTTAATGTATTGGCATAGTTACAATTGCTTTATTTCAGACCAGTGCCCTATCAAAAGTTACCCTGAATCCGTTGTTGATAGTTGGCACCCCAAATGCACTGATATGGGCGGTGTGGGTGCACTATGTATTCAATATAATTATTTATCAATCTGTTTATTATTTCATGATAACGTACTACTTGGAAACTAAGCTAGTTACATTAAATGCTAAAATTAAAAGCAATTTGACTTTACAACCTGATTTAAAACTTGTTCAATTTGATAATAGATTTATTTCAAAAATGTATAATTTATGTATAATGAAATAAGGTTGTATAACTGTAATTATTGGTGCAAGTTTTGGGTATGTTCTGGCTGACTATTGGCTCTATAATAGCTATGATTGTATTTATAGCCTTTTTGGGCGATGTTCGTAATTTAGTCATCAGGGTGATGTTGACATTTTATTTGATTATTTATATTCAGTTACTATTATTTATTATCCATATATCTAAAGATGTCTATAATGAGCCTATGGTAACATATAAATTATTTAACAGTTATATGAGTACTAATCACTCCATGCCGTTAGTGCTAAGATTTAAGGTAAGTTTTAAATATTATTTATTTTACAACAAAATATATTTTACTTGATTAATAATTAATTTGTATAAAATGAATCCTAATGACTTAATTAATGTTTTTAAAATAAAATAGTTATTGAATTTAATATCACGGATTGCTGTACAGAGAGTTGGCTTTTATTGTTGGAAACTATTTATTATTAATAATATCCGGGGTTACGAGGTATGAATTATTTTTTAGCTAATTTATAACATGGTACATTTAGTATTTAATGTATTTACACTTATTTGTAGATCATAACAATGATATTGTTGTTGTTCATCAAGATGAATGAGCTTGCTAAAAAACTAAACTAACAAATATGTGTAGATTTGTATAGATATTTATTTATTTTAATTGTTAGATATTTTAATTTTTAATACCGGTAAATGTCTATTACAGTACATGATAATATATTATTTAGTCTTTTTAACTTTAAAAATTTAATTTATTAAAATTAGTTTTTAAATCTTTTTATATATACTGCGTTTAATAAATGTAATTTTCATTATGTTTGAAAGGAAATAATTGTTTGAATATACTTGTATATTAATATAAATTTAATACTGCTAGATACATAAAAAATATCTATTATCTTTATATTAAAATATTAATTGATATTAATATAATATAATGTACATGCAATTAAATTACAACAAACTCAAATGTACTATTATATTAAATATACAAACTTAACATTTGCAATAAAACTAATAAACTGTAACAAACTTAAATATAATAATTACGGTTAACTATTTATGGAAACATTAATGGACATGTAATTAAGTTAAACTATTTATTAATTACTTTAACAATTAACAAAACTTTTATAATTAACCTTCAATTATTAGTTTTATGATTAACATTGGTACAGTACCATTAGTAAGTTTGAATAATATTGTATTATTGCATCTGACAATTTATTTTTAAATATCTAATTTGTTTAATTTAATATAATGACTTGTTTGTATAATTATTTGATATAATCTTTTAGCCAAATTTAATATAATGTATTATTAAACAAACCATTGAAAATATAATATATATTTTTGTGTTTACCTTAATATGTTTTATTTTATATGCTACACAATAATCATAACTAAAATAATTTAATCTAATTATTATTATTGGGTAATAATAAAATACATTTATGTTACAATAATATTACGATAATAATTTATATTGTAATTAATGTTAGTAAAAATTTATTTCTATTAATTTCATATAAAACAAAGATAATAATTTTTTGGTGCCAATGATACAAAATACATATTGTTACATTAAATGTTAGCTAATTACTTATTATTCATTTTATATAATAAAATTGTTTCTATAAATTTTACTAGAATATACTGGCAATTTTAGTATTACCTTAACCTCTGGCCCAGCATTGCACTGCAAGATTGGGTCAAATTCAGTGAAGGGGTGCAATAGTATTCAGATAGTATTGCACCCAATTTTGGATAAGTTTTTCACTGAATTGCATAATTAGGAAATGTCAAAAAAGTATTCAAATTTTCATAAAATATTTTTGAGATTTGAGTATTTGATTTAAAATTAACGGTTAGCCTATTAATTAAATAAGGGGCGATTCACATAATACATTCGCACTTTCTGATGGAATCTGGACCCCCTCCTCCTATATGTTCAAAATTGTTCACATGTAGGCATTTAAAAAAAAGTACGTCAGCAGTGCTTAACCTCTCACCTTAAAAAATTAAATTCCACTAAATTTATAAATTACTTAATTTACTTAAAATTAACCCAATCATTTGAATAATTAATTATAAACCTGTTATTGTCAATTTAGAAATAGTACTAGAGGTAGTCATGTTGTTGACGGTAGGTATGGGGTCAGTGGTGTTTTTATAAAATTATTTTTAATTTCGAAATATTTCATAAACTGTAAATAAACTATTCTTATTCAAAATTATTTAGAAATAGTGCTAGAGGTAGTCATGTTGTTGACGGTAGGTATGGGGTCAGTGGTGTTTTTATAAAATTATTTTTAATTTCGAAATATTTCATAAACTGTAAATAAACTATTCTTATTCAAAATTCATTTATTCATTCAAAACTTGTTATATGACAAATCGTTATCAAAATATTAATTTTGATAAAAATTAATTTTTAAAATCATTTAAATGCGAACGTTCTTAAGGTCTCAACCCCCTCCCCTCTCATTCTTAAGACACCCCCACCCCCGAAGTGCCAACGTAATATGTGAATCAGTCCTAAGAATTTGTTTTTCTTCTGATTGATTTTGAACTACTATTGCATGCAATGGTATGTTGATTTCTGAGAGGGGGTGCAATACTATTGAAATATCATTGCATGCGATTTCGGTGAACACGAAAATCACTGAATATGACCTAATATTGCGTGCAATCCTGGGCCAGAGGTTAAGGTAAATAATTTTAAAAATACCTTTTTAGTGCAATACATAAATCAGTAATGGGTAATTTAATTAAACACTTAAATGAAATTTATAATAAAGCACGTATAACTGCAAAACAAATTTTATATAATTGTTAACAATTAATTTTGATAAAGTAAAAATAAATTAAATAAAAATTTATTTTAAAATCTAAAGTATTTATTATACTGTATTATGACATACAATATAAAATCGTTAAACTAAATGTAAAATATTCCAATAAATAATTTAAAAAATGACACTTTATTTCAATCATAAATAACACATTCTAATATTTATTTAATGTAAAGCATGCTCAATTTAATATAAATGTTGTATACCGGTATAAGTCCATTACTATGCGAACTGACTTTAATAATCATGGCATGATACATTGTATATTAACCAAATATCATTGTATTTGGCATTATCATAATGAATATGTTATTAATAGTCAATTCACAGTCGACGCCGTGTAAAGGTACATTTAAATAATATCCAAATGCTAAAATGGAACTTGCTTATTTTAAATCCAAATTGAGCTAACGAGTAAGTGACTGCTTGTGTAATAACAATATTATGGGATATTTTTCGAAACTAAAATAACACGTTTATTTTGCCTTGCTCAGTTTGTAATCAAATTCCTGTCACCACTATGGCGTCGCCGAGTCCTAACCTCATTGGGCAACGTATGGGTCATAGCCGGCGCTTGAGCACCGGCCGACCCTAACGGCGTATCTACAGTCCATCGGCCGCCCACACCTAAAGTCACGCCCCATCCGAGTACACCCAATTGAAAGCCTCCGGTTCCCATTTTGACCCCGGTGTTGGCGTTAACATTGAGTGAGGCGTAGGCCGGACCTAAAGTGGCCTCGGCTTTGACGGCACTGGCCTCAGCCATTAGGGCCACTCCCGTGAAGTCGGTGCCCGACTTTACGCCGATATCGATGCCGGCGTTCGGACCCTCGGCGCCGACCGTTCCCAAGCCGTTGCCGTACTCTGTCTCGCACTTAACGGTATGAATGTGGCCGTCGGCGCCGTATATTTTGACCTCGGCGTTTGCGCTATGTTCCCATTGTTCACCTATCCCTGTTTTATATCCATTTAATATTATTATTCTTAACTAGGTAGTTTGCTTGTAGACATGAATAGGTTAAAATCTTTGGTAAATATACAATTAAATTTTGAAAATAAAATAACATAGATATTATTACGTATATTATTAATTATCAACTCCATATACAATGATTTTTAAGCAAAACTGACCAAGGTACGTTACTTACTACGATCAGCTTCGGTGTTCACCTCGATAGCGGCCCCNATCATTTTTAATAAATTGCAAAACTTTTGTTAATAATACACTAGGAATTTTAACCTTGATTTAAAATATGATTCAAATATAAAGCATTAAGCTTGTGAAAATTTGTCAAATGTAACCAGGTACATATAAAACTTATTTCAAATAAAATCACATTTTTAATATTATTAATAACAGTTAATATTATACGTGACTCTAGGAATCTATGAGCTTGGTCCTATCTAAATAATAACTTGATAAATAATAAAATAGTGGTGATAATAATCTAAAATAAAACATATTAGTAAATAAAAATGATAATTATTAAATTTTAAAATTAATTAAAATACCTCGCACCCCTAAAATGATCAATCGCAAATAATTTCCAGCAATAAAATCCAACCCTTTGTGCGACTATTTTTGAAATGACATTAAATATCTATAAATATAATCAAGATTAATTAATTCGATAATATATTTAATTGTTTATGAGCAAATATTTTCTTTTATACCTTAAATCTTAATATCAAGGGTATATAGCTTGTTGAAATAGTTAATTTATTGAGTAATTTATAAGTTACCATGGGTACTATGAATACTATTAGATATATTGATGACAAACACTAGTAATACTGAATAGATTACCACATAAACCAAAATCATAATCCTGACAAATAAGCTAGGTAATTCATCGAAAAACGTTATATACGCACACATGGCTATTATAGAGCCCATTGATAGCCAATATACCCCCAAATACTTGCACCAATAATCTTGGTTATATTTGTGTATCTCAAAATATATTCAGTCGAGTTCCTTGATAATTCTGGAATATTTGTATAAAACCAAACAATAAACTAAACTCGGTTTAACTACAACGTTCTTCATGTAATCAAATAATAAATTGTTCAATTCAAAACATGGGTTTATCATCCATTAGTATATTATTAATCACAACGGTTTATATTTTTTGGAATTGGAGAACAGTCAACAAAATATGACAATTTTGTGGAGAACTTCTGGAAAACATAATTTATTGCATCATTTTATTGACGAAAATTCATTTATATTTCATTAATACATTATTATTTATATTCTATCGTCTGATTTTACAGAAAATAACGGCTTATGTTGTTTTTAATGTATTTAAAATTATTCTTATTAAAGATTAGCTTGTGTGAATACAATGATTGACAATAAACGACACACAATTTTTTGATGCCAATTATAACCTTACCCTGTTACAAATAGGACGGCGGGTCCCCTTAAAAATCATCAATTTCGGTATACTTAATTCGAAAAATAGTTGGGTATTATTGAAAGATTTTGAAACCCTAACCATTCATAGCCTTGACTTATGAGCCCAAATCAGTCCGAAACCGGTACGGGTAGGGATATTGTTCCTAAGTTGAGATTATAATATGTATTTTACGATACAGTAGCGTACTCCATTCAAAAATTTACTTATCTCTTAACGTGCATTGTCATTTATATAATATAAAACATAGCTTACGCATTTTTAATTAACTTTTAAAAGTTTAATTCATACAAAAATATAAAATGTTATATAATTGGTGTGGAGTACGTCTGGCAACACTAATAATAATAGATAATCTGATACATGACTATATTAAATAGGTGCTGCACCCATATGCCCCATACAAGTGCGTTAGGCAAACCAATAACTATCCACTGTATCAGGGTGACTTTTGAAAAGCAACTAGCTTGAAATAATAAGATTATAACCAAAACGCATAATTTTGTACTGTATTTGACAATTAATAGGCATTTATGGTAGATATCCCTCAACTTCAACACGACATCCATATCGTGAATACCGATACTTTTGGGGGCAATAAAACCGGACATCATTTCAAACACACGTAAATCCCGGGGTTTTATACCCTGAGTATAGTTGTAGTAATTTATGAACTGGGAACATTAATCGTATATGAAATTTATTATTCTCATATGAAAATAATCTGCATGACCTTAATAACTAATTTTGTTAAAAAGATATTTGTACTTGTAAATTATATATTATGATTACATACAGGTATATCATTAGTTATATAATAGTGTATCCAAATTAAGTTCAATAATTTTTAACAGAAATATTGATAACAATGATATTATCTAGAAATTTAAAAAATGTATAC